GATGTCGTTCTCCATCTATTAAAAAATTAAACCCATTTCTTAAGGATGGCGTATTACGCGTAGGTGGCCGTTTGGCAAACTCAGAGGAGAGTTTTGATTTTAAACATCCTATTCTCCTTCCTTGTAAGGATCATGTGGTAGACTTGCTCATACGCTCATACCACTGCAAATATTTACATACAGGACCAGGGTTGCTATCTTCTGTACTCCGTGTTAAATACTGGATACTATCTGCTAGACGTGCAATTAGAGCCATTATATCTAAATGCAACGTATGTTTTCGATCTAAGCCTCAACCTGGGTTCCCTATGATGGCTGACCTCCCTGAACCTCGAGTGAGAGCGGTTGTCAAAGCCTTCGTCCATACTGGATGCGATTATGCCGGCCCAGTCCTAGTAACACCATATCGTGGTAAGGGTATAAAAAGCCGTAAGGCTTACATCTGCTTGTTTACATGCCTTACTACACGAGCGGTGCATATTGAGCTCGCAAGCGATCTCAGCACAGCTTGCTTCTTGGCAGCCATGAAACGATTCCTAGCTAGACGGGGATCGGTTCAATGTTTTTATACCGATAACGGAACTAATTTTATTGGTGCCCGATCTTATCTTCGCGATTTGTACGCTTTTCTAAAGAATGAATATAAACCAGTGTGGGAAAAGCAGTTAGCAGAAAGTCGTATCCAATGGAAACTGATTCCTCCTAATGCTCCACACTTCGGTGGTTGCTGGGAAAGTAACATCAAGTGCATAAAAACCCATTTATATAGGGTCATCGGCCAACAAATTCTAACCTTTGAGGAGCTTCAAACAGTTTTAAGCCAGATTGAATCCATATTGAATTCACGACCACTTACAGTTCTCAGCTCTGATCCTTCAGATCCAGCAGCTTTGACGCCAGCTCATTTTTTACATACCGTCCCGCTTGATTTCCTGCCAGCACCTGATATCGATGATTCGATTCCGCATCTTCTAACTCGATATGAACTCTTAGACAAGTTGGTACAGTCATTCTGGATGCGATGGAGGAGAGAATATCTTCATAGCCTACAAGCCCGCCAGAAGTGGAACTCACCATCCTTCCCAGTTAAGGAAGGAACGGTTGTTGTAGTAATACAGGATAACATCACGCCCTTACATTGGCCCTTAGGCATTATAACACAAACCTTTAAAGGTAAGGACGACGTTATACGTGTAGCAATGGTAAGGACTAAGCACGGTACTTACCAAAGACCAGTGGTTAAATTGTGTCCATTACCAACTCAGTAAAATTCACAAATTATTTAGGTAAAGGGTAGATTAGCCTCTAGATAATAAGTCATAGATAAGTTAGTGGGATTAAGTAGATATAAGTAGTTAACAAACATTCTTTAGTATGTTGTAATAAGGTTCATGGAAGTGAGAATAAATTAATTTGGTCGATAAAGATGATTACACCTTTGAAAGCTTCCCTTTCAAGGCCGGGAGGAATGGTTCGGCTAGTTTAATAAGCAGCCGAAATTTCTTTGTTTATTTTGCTCTGAATACTCGCAACTGTTACACCAATGTTACTTTGGTTTGGATGTCCGTGTATTTCGCGGGTCGATGGGATTCTTGCGTACTATTGGTCCGTTAAAATTACGGACATCTTCCCGTCACGTGATCACATACTGTCAACGCCGCGCGTCGTGAGAAATGGCACGTTTTTTCGCTGCTCCCTAATATATGTTCCGCCGCAAGTTATTCCTAGAATTGGATAATCGTGAGTGACCGAAATCCGTGTAGCTGGGATCCCCGAAGAAGCGCACGAGAGCAGGACCATCCGCCTTCGTATATTCAGGTACGTCCGACCTTAGTAATATTGTCTAGTTAACGGTATCGAGTAGAATCAGCCAGCGTCTATGCAAATTACAGTCCATTTACCATTTTCAACCAACCTCTAACTGGGATATGATATAACGATACAGAACTGATTGCTGTTCCGAATTCGCGAGTGATATGGCGTTATCACAATTTGTTAAGAATGCTGGAAGTGATTCTCTGTCGCCATTGTAAGGTTTAATAAATTTTGTAAGGACCGATAAGGGAATTTTGTCAGACATTTCTAGTTCTTCTGGTTTTTCCTTTAAAGTTTTAGTCTTATGCATGTGGAATAAGAAAAATAGTTAAGGAGTTAGGAAATACAAAATTGGTGAAATAAGGATATGGTATACAATTAATGACAAAATGTAAAGAATTAGAACAAAGTAGTACAAAATTATCGCTAAATTAAGGTTAACTTATTATATCACGAACACTACGGCGAACATTGGTTGCTATGCGGGTGTCGTGTTGCGATGACGTGCAGCGGAGTCGAGTTGCCGTGAGACCCAGGGAGTCGTTTGACGGCAGCGTCCACGTGGTTGTGCGGTGGGAGTGCAGCAGCTCAGGGCAGGCTCACACGCGTGGGGTGAAGACTGACAGCCTTTATGAACGTCGGGTTGATGACGATGGAGATGCCTCAAGCTCGTGGGGCTGAGACCTTGTTGGTGTTTCGGATGATGCAGGCTCACACGCGTGGGGTGGAGACTTACTGTCGATCTTGCTTCAGAGTTTCCCAGGATTCGGATGCCACGCTACCGATATACGAGTAGACCGTGTGACATCCCACTTCTGACACCAAATTTGTTAGGAGGGCCGCTCTGAAGGTGTTTTTAAAAAAAACTTTTACACCCAATCCCGGAAGTTCTTTTGGTTTATTTCCCCAATATTAAAATAATACAAAAAATGTACTAAAACCGCGAACGGCGTGTGCGATATGCACTTAATATGGGTTGCAAATTAGGCACTTAATATATGACACTATAAATTCTGCAGAAAAAATGTGAAATATATATCCCGTCAAATCAAATCAGTTCAAAGATTTTTGAAGAAAGATTATTTATCAGGTCAAGCTGAATTACTGGAAATATTTGGTCTCAGGTTCGAATCGGGCCAAAAATCACCCATTGGGTTTTTCTGTTTAAGAAATTCTCAGAGTCAGCCCTGAGTCAGAAAATAAGTACAGCTGTTGATTCTGGACCTGATCTCTCTCCGATTGTATCGAATTACCGTCCCATCGAACGATGACACAGAGAGAATAGAGAGTTCACCTGTGCACTTCACAATCAGGCACTATAATTCTGTCCCGCACAGATCTAGTCTCTATTGGCAATGCCCGCAGTGACCGAAATACGATCTGAAGAACTGTCTTACTGGCTCGTTCGCGATTATGCTTGCCTAGTACTTTTCCTACATATATATAAAGAACAAAAATCAATCAAACTAGGCCAAAAAACGTTAATGCTAAATGCATCATTATGAAAAAAATAAATTTAAAGTAGGTACTGACGAAAATATTCTACTGGACTACTGAGTATTTTCTACCCTAGTCGTCTTACCAGTCAGTTATTGTACTTGGTACAAAAAATCCTAGTAGTTTTACTAATAAGAATATTTGGTAAGACGACTAGGAATACAACACGCTACGAAGATTCACAATAGTCTCACTAGTAAGACTAGTGGGAAGTTCTCATTAGAAAATTCCCATTAGTCTTACCAGTAAGACAATTGGGATTAAAATTCCCAGTATTACTAGTAAGTTTACTTGGTACACTACTGGGAATACCCTGAAAATAATGATTTCCTTTATTTAACTGCATACTACATATTCGATGGAATCAAATTTACTAATTTTATCACGTGTATATCTGTGTCGAGTGCTTCGTAGCACTCATCACGGAATAACTGAGCCGTTCAACGTCATATTATTTTTAGTCAGACCTAAGCAAAATAAGCTAACTGCATCTGGAAGACAAAGTTTGATCTGAATAACCGTGTACAATAACCATAACATAACTTTTCTATTGAATTAGGATGCTTATTAATTTAACATATTTTCAAATTATAGCATCGTGGTACATATATCGATTTTCACAGCTAAGTGCGCAGACTGCAGACTTCCCGACAAATTTGTAAATTAATTAATTTAATTAAATAAATTTGTACTACATAAAGAGTAGGCATATAAAAATAAAAGAATTTTCATTAATCAAATTAAAATTCTTTACTCATGGTGGAGGCCGTTGTAGCACATCGCATAGTTTTTTATTTAATTATATGCGTGCCGCTTGAGAATTATAATTAAAATCGTCAATGTGCTTGCGAAGATGAAAAATACTGTCGGGAAATCTGTATGTCTGAAAAACTTTTTTTTGCTGAAGCAGAGCAAACGCAATCTGTTTTTTTTACTCCATATCTATTATATAATTTATTTTATTTTTAATAATTTTTTTCCTTTTCTTTAACAGCCGGTAAAAGTCCACTGCTGGACGTCATTGGCTCATGAGTTTAATTTAGTTTTCCCTTTGACTATAATGTTCTTCAGACTGAATTTCGGTCACTGCGACTAGTCTTAACGGAGGCTAGCCATCTGCTATGGACACGATTATAGTGTCCGAGTGTATGCGCAAGCATAAGTATACTACACTCATAGTCCGATGGGGGTTATCCGACATGATCGGAAAGAAACGCTCGACCAACGGCTTTAAGTGCTTTTTGAGGCGTAGGGGGAGACACCACCAACTTCCTGACTCCGATGTTGGTGGGACTTGGGATTTGAACTCGGGACCTTATGATCAGCAACCGCGTTTACTATCACTAGACTAACGAAGCAGTCAAGAGGCAAAAGGTCGGTAAAAGCTTGTCTTTTACAATAGTAACCGTGAAATGGCGATGTAAAAATATACGTACCTTATGTCGACCCGTGGGTGTCTACCTAATAACTACTTAAATAATACTGCGGTTACTATCATGCCTGCCATGTGATGCAATCCGGTCATTTTTATGACGCAATCTGTATCTATTGTCCAGCAGTGGAGTTTTGATAGGCTGTAACGGTTACCATAGTCACCTTTTACGTCACCCACGAGAAGAAATTAGGTGTTGAATTTTCATACACTGTCATTAGTAAACATTATTGTTAATAAATAAAAAATGTTTCAGTTGAACATGCAATGTCGATAATTTCAAAAATTACGAGTGTAATGAGCGATTTAAATGAATCAAGACTAACCTATAATGTTCTCGATAAATATTTCTTAAGTTGGGCACCATTCATATTTGATGTAACATCTTACAGTTTGTGGAAATCTATTCTATTTAAGGTAAGCTTAGTAGTAAGCGAGAGGGTTGTATGTTCGGCGCGTTTTTTACTTATCACCGCCGATTTCGGCATTCACTCACTCACTCACACTCACACACACACACAAACGCGTGCGCACACGCACACACACACACACACACGCAAACGCACGAACACGCACACACACACACACACACGCGCGCACACGCACACGCACATGCATACGCACACAAATAAACACACATATGCACACGCACATGCATACGCACACACATAAACACACACACACACACACACACACGCGCGCGCACACATATGCACACGCACATGCATACGCACACACATAAACACACGCACGCACGCACACGCGCGCGCCCACACACAGACACATACGGACACACACATACATACATATACACATACACATACACATCAGTTAATATGTCTTTTAACCTAGCTAGAATACTCAGGATTATTATTGGTCCTGACGATGTATTGTATATACCGTAACCAAACCTACATAAACTAACGTCACGGACCGCAATGTCCTATCCTTTGCACTAATTTTTTGGGGATTTTGTTTGTCATTAGAATTACTTTAAATTTTATCAAGCTGAGATATAAAAATATTTTTCGGACAAAAGTAACGTTCAGTAAAATCTATAGTCCGTTCAAGCAGCTTCCGCATTTTTAAAGCAGCTATTTCTTGAAACTATAGCTACTTTAAGACATTAACAATAATTCTTAAATTTATTTTAATTCTGTAAAGTTCAATACTACGAAAAATAATATAATATTGATAATAATTTTATTACTATAATTAATAGAATCAGACTAAATTCCTTCTTCAGGGATCTTAGCTATAATTTTATTTTATTATTAACTAAAATGTTTTAAAAATAGTCGCAATAAGAATTAGTAAATAATAGGACCTACTTCTACTGCTCGTGAAGATTACACGCACTATTTTTATCTTTAGGAAACGAGGTTTTTGCGATGTTTTCCTTTACCACCACAAAAAAAAATCGATAATAAAAATTTAAAATAACAATTTCATTCAAGATAACAAGAATCGAACTCGGGTTGTTCGCGTGCTTTGAAATTTAACAAAACGCTAAGTTCCTGATTAACTACTGCTCAAGTGTATACAATGTAACAATAAATGAATAATCTTTATACAGATCGCAAATACGCAGGCGACATTTGCTTGGAACATTACAGACGTGATGACGATGTGTGTAAGCATGTATTTAACTTCGTACTTTCAGGATTTGAACGAAATCATCAATAATCAATACGTAAGTTACATTGTAATAAAAATACTACATAAGTTCCATTAAAATAAAAACATTTTCGATTTTTAAATTATATTAATTCGTATGTATGAAATTACTACGGTGTAACGTTAATAATCTACATTTAAACAGAAATAAAACTCAATGTATTAAATTTACAACAACGAATTGTAAAAATCCGAGTACCAATGTGTTTTTAAATGGAGAAGAACTGAGCCCTGTTGAATCCACTGTTTTTCTTGGCATCACTCTCGACGCAAAGCTTCAGTGGGGCCCCCATATATCCAAATTACTAAGCAGACTAAGTTCTGCAGCCGATGCTGTAAAAAAGATTAGAGGTCTCTCTAGTGACGAGACTGCTAGATTAGTTTATTTCAGTTATTTCCATAGCATAATGTCTTATGGGATTTTGCTATGGGGAAATGCGGCTGATTCAGAAACTATTTTTGTTTTACAGAAGAGGGCCATTTGAGCTATTTACAACCTAAAACCGAGAGAGTCTCTTAGAGATAAATTTAAAGAAATAAATATATTAACTTTGGCCTCTCAGTATATTTACGAAAATTTAATGTATGTTCTGTAAACACCAGGAACAAACACAAGCTAGTGATACCAGTTTCTCGACTCCACAGAGTCAATAATTCATTATTGGGGCAATGTATACGCTATTACAACAAGGTCCCAGAAAGAGTACAGGCTCTCTCTATTAGCAAGTTTAAATGTTTTGTTAAGTTGAAACTGTATAAAAAGGGTTATTATAGTATAAATGAATTCATTGTTGATAATAACCCCTGGGAATGAGGTGATCGCTTCCAAGTTGTTTCTAAAATAAATTTTGTACTTATATAGTTTGTACAACCATATTGTATAATTTGCTTAAAAAAAAGTCCCGTTGGGTTTCTTGCTGGTTCTTTCTAGGACAGAGGTTTTTTTTCGAACCAGTGGTAAAGTAAAAGAATGACTTTCAATAAGAATTACACATGTGATCTATATTGAGTAAAAAATTATTCTATTCTATTCTATTCTATTCTAATCTAAGATTAATTACTTCATTCTGCTTTGGTGTCATTACAGAAGTCAATGTCCTGGGAGAAATTGCGCATCTTGTATTCACAACTTGTGGCCCTCGTGAAAGAAATAGACTCCAGATTCTGCTATCTTATACTGTTATCGTTCTTCACTAATCTGTTCTTCATCTGCCTGCAGCTATTCAATACTTTAAAGTAATTAAATGTTACTTGTATTTAAATGATTACTTAACTTTAAAGCTAACTTCTAATTAAGGCCAGGATTTCCTGTTAAGAGGCTTATAGCGCTGCATGCATATTTATCTAGCGCGAAATAAGCGTGTGACATTTATTTGAGCATATTCTGTTTAAAGAAGTATTAAATATCGAGCTGCAAAATTAATACGATATTTTGGTCAACCTGGCTTTAAAATTTGTCTTGTAACCTGAAAGCGTCCATAAACATAAATTGCCCACGGAAAATTAATTAATTATTTATTTATTATTTATAACTATGACATGAACATCGGAGGAGTCCAAAAAAATTACATAATATAATTTATATTTAATAAAGAAGTTACAAGAGTGCATTTATATCACTTATTACTAATAACTTTATTGTTCAGGGATGTCTGAACGTCCAAATGTCATGTGACAAAAGGCATCCCAGGATTCCGGCAATCAGTTTTAATTGATCAATGAAGCGCTGTTGCGTAATCCTAGCAATCGACAAACGAATGATCGTGCATGTGTTTTCGTAACGACGAAAACACATGCATAATACAACGGTATCTAATAAGTGTAAACTGGGATATAACAAACCATATCCGACAGAAAGCCGCGGGGGCAAATCCAACTTTTTGCTTAGTCGAGTAAATAAAAATGTAAGGTATTTTTTTATAGATGGAAGGCAAACGACGAGCAAGCGGCTCACCTAGTGTAACTAAAGCCACCCTGTTTATGGGTATTACAACATCATAGGAATAATTGCAAAGTAACTTGTCGGATTTTTAAAAAGATGTGGGCTCTTTTCTTGAAGGTTTATAAATGTTGTCGGTCCGAAAAATTGTTCAGCAATTTTCGTACCACAAGGAAGTTGTGTACACATTTATGAAAAAAAAATATAATTTTTGAAATTATATTCGTTTATTAATTGGATAATGTTTTTTTCAGTTATGGAATTCCCAGGCAAGGCAATTATGGTGACAAAAACTTTAAAAAGTAAGTGATTTAACGTGATTTATGTGAATATTTATTGAGGGCGTGCTTCTTCACCAGTTGAGCTGAACAATTTTTCTATCAGAAAAAGCCATTGGCTCCACCGCGTAAAAAACGTCTGTCACCATCACAACCATCACCTTCATCCTCTACTGGACATGTGTCACCTCCATTACGGGGACAATTGTAATCATCGTGCTTGAAGGTTGGATTAGCAAACTTTCTGCCAGACGTATCGTAATTTTGACGCTGTCTTATTCCTATCGGACACCATCAGATCGTTCTGGCATTACTTCTAGTCGCTTCTTATCACAACCTTGGTGCGAAAGGGGATAATGAACTTTCATATGCCGCAAGCACACGACGCAAGTTGGAAATGTAACTCAATTGTAAAATATTTCATTCCGGTTTTTTATGTTCATGCGTATACTACATATATTCTCCTATGTATCAAATGACGAATAAAAATAGTTTTTAACATTTTAACGATGCAGGTATATTATGTAATAAGATCCCACCTTTACACAATACCAGCGAAAAGCTGTTGGGGGGAATTATTCTATTCTAATTAGTCATGAGGGGTGACAACATTTCTGTATTTTGATTCTTAATTGACAATAGATGTAGGTTTATATGGGCCACATCATTCACTTTCAATAAAGTTAAGTGTGAGCTCGTTTTTGATTCTGTTAAGGCTTTATCATTGACCTAATGATGTAAGCGTAGTGAAGATCGACTAATATAATTGCCAGAATAAATATAGACGTTTATAATGTTTAGTTTTTTTATTTTATAGAAATGTAATATGCAAGGCCTTATCTACAATGATGTGAGAAGGCAAGTAAACTATGAAAGACTTATAAAGCAGAGGCGAGCAGTGAAGCTAAGCCGTACCGAAAACTGAAGCGCAAACAATAGCTGAAAGTAACGAGAAGCATCAACAATGCGATAAAACTAAATAAAAGTCACCAATTCGGTCATCGGTGATAAAGAAAAGAAGTGGGAAACACTTTGTGTATCACAGAGTCGTACGGAAATTTCTATAGCGTGATTTAGGCTTCAGTTGTTTGTGCATATTAGTCACTAAGATACAATAAGATAAGATAAATTTGTTAATATATGGATCGTAAGCGGAAAGTATGCCTATTGTTTATTTTTTTTATAAAACTGAAATATCAAACGAACTTACAATCCAACTGATCGTAAATTTCCATTGCAGTCCAAGGGTGGCTGCAACTAACTTTTAACAAAGCCTCCATGTTTAAAGTTGGTTAGATGCATCATCGTCTCTGAGGACTAAGATGGAATGCTTTTCAGCTTGTACTCTGTATCCTTCAAACCAGAACATGGCTGTATAATCACAACTATTTGGCAGCAGAAACAGGTAAACGTGTGGTATTCAACGGATGGTGAAAGAGTCCTAAAATTAAGTAAATTTAAATTTCCTTTGTCCACAGTTCCATTCACAGCACCGTATACCTATTGTACTACCTTTACTTCTTCGTGTTTCTAATCACTAGAGCGACTGTGACGTGTTTGTTAGCAGCAAACGTAAACAAAGCTGCACAAGAGCCTATGTTTGTTGTTGGATATGTCCCCGCATCTGAATACACGCTTGAAGTAAGTCATCTTGATGATAACTGAAGGAGATATATACAGAGTTATTTTGCAATAACTGGCCAAATTTGCAGAGAAGGTTTAATAATAAAGAATTAGTAATAAAGGCAAATGGTGAACAAATATTAATTAAAGCAATGGCAAATGTTCTGTCCTTTTTAAATTCATAATGCGGGGTAATATATTATTTAACTGATTTTACTGCACACGCACATATTTGTAAGGGTTGATTGGTAGGCAAAAACGTTGTATCCCATAAATTACATCCAATTTGGGATTATTTCAGATAAAAGTAGAAGCCTTTTTTACTCGTATTTTCAAAAACTGCAATAACGATATATCATTATCTATATATCTGAACTTAAGTTTTTAATCTTTTAATATATACAATATTAAAATCTTTATTAACGTGTAACGTTGTCAAAAGATGATTTTTGTCCTCGGGATCATTTTCTTTCTAACCCATCATCGAAGGTATCGTTAGTACTATGTCTTCGTTTTCGGGAGCGTTTCACAAAAAACCTGCATAAAATGTATTATGAAAAATTTTAGGCGTAGAATTGTGTAAATTTTCCACACTTGATGCATTTACAGATTGGGTATTTGAAAATAACTTATTACTGCAGAAGTCACGTCATACTCGAATAAATAATATTTTTGTTCAGGTGCAGCGATTCAACCGTCAGATCCGGTACACCACGACCGCTTTAAGTGGAGTGTATTTTTATGTGACACGTAGCACCTTACTTTATGTAAGGCAATTTGAAATATATAGCACAAAATGAAATATGATTACGCAACTGAACAGGTTTTATCTTTCAGGTTGTTGGGACTATAATAACATATGAATTGGTACTTCTACAATTTAATTTAGAAACCGCAGATGATGCTGATTTAAATTATAATGGGACTTTGTACAAATATATGAAAATGACGGTTTAATTATTTCTTATGTTGCTTTTATCGTCAATATTACACGCACAATATAATCAGTTTATGTACGTTGTGATTATATAATATAATTTACATATACTATATGGGTATTGATGTATCTATGATGTAATTCATTACTAGAATATAAATATTATGCACAATAATGTTTGAATATATTATAAAGAAATTCGAAAATAATTTAATAAATTGGTTGGCATTTTTTCTATCTTGTATTTATTTTTTGCCTTGCATCTAGATTAAATTTAAATTTTTGCTTGTATTGATTAGAAGGTCATCATCTCATTATAATATATAGAGTTTAATAATGTAGTCATATTTTCCCGCTTTGAAAATTAATAATTTTCAAAAGTAGGAAGTTATACATTTCGGTCCAATTTTGAGAATGCGAGTTCTCATCAGACGGTTTGAGGTCCTAGGATACCGTTCCGATTTCCAGCTGAACGACCGGCCGTGTGTGTACGCGTGTGTGTATGTATGTATGTAAATAAAATTTTGTCGTACGATATGTTTACAACGAATTTACCGATCCAGATGGATTCATTGAGACTTCGAGCTGATTTTGATTGTCAATCGGTCGAGGTCTTACAAAGATTTTCTAAAAATAAAAACCAAAAATAAAATAAATCTTTTGAGCGTTGCGCTCGAAATTAAGCAGGAAGTTCTAGGGTTCAACCGTTTTTCAGATTTATTAATGTATGTGACACATATACTAATACGCTGGACTGGCATTGAACCGATGTCATTGAGTGTTACGGGCACAACATTTTACATAGTTTGCAAATGGTAAGAGTTTTGCTCAAAACCTCTAAAAGTATTTAAAAGTTTTAAACGGGAAAAAAGGGTGTTGTGTATTTAGGTGATGTTTCATGTTAGTAATATAGCAAAAATGAAGTGTGCTAACATTCCACAAGTAAGGGAATTTACAGTGTTTATTAAAAATTTAAACTATTTGATAATAATACAGGCTCTTACTTATCTTATTAAATGATTTTACTAACATGTTTAGCTTTAAATTACCTATTTTTGATAAATAATAAAACTCTTTAGGGTTGACGAGTTCCTTGTCGATAATACTTATTGATGTTTTTTCTACTCACATCAACAATGAGTCCTTGACAACAGATAATTATCAAATATTTATTAATTTACAGGCTTTCAACTGACTAACAAATGTAGGTAACTAAAAGCATAAAACTTGTGAGTTGGCGTCCAAAGCAAATGGATTAAGACGTCAATGATTTGTAGTATGATATTCTTTAATAAAATTACAAATTTGTAAAATTCTTAGTTTTATTAAAAGTTCCTCCTAGATTTGTTGAAATATGCATAATATTTTGGCAGCTTATTGATTTTTTCTATTACTAGGACTAAATAAATGGTTAATAATAAAGTCTTTACATTTTTTATTTATTTTGTTTTTACCTACTCCAGTTTCTCCTACTCATTGGGTTTTTATAAACATCTCGAATGAACCATACATAGGTACCCAATAATACATACGTACTGGACTCAAGAGGATCCGTTTCGCAGGTAGAGTTAAACGCCGTGGAGGAAGGCACACCTTGTTCCTGGTGCGCCTTAGCTGAGAAGAAAAACGGGGAGGAGAATTTCTCCCCGGGGAGGGGGGCGCAATAGGATGGGCAGCGCAAAGCATTTCCGTGGCCCTGACAAAATGTGGCGAAGGTGGAACACCATGGGGTTTTAGTCGGTGCGAGTCCGACATAACCCGTCCTTGCCCCCGCGAGGCGGGTATGCGTAGGCATCTCCCCATGTTAAAAAAAAAATGCTCCGCCATCAATCGTTTGGAGTGTATTTCATTAATCAGCGTTTATTAATTCATTAATCAGTGTGTGTATAGCGTGCAGATGAAATTGAAAATTGAAAAGAAAAGTTGATATATTTTTCCTTACGAGTATATCCTGTTTATAAGGATCCATTCAATTAAATTAAGCAATATGACTTCTATTAAGGACGTATATACGTTCCGAGCGCTGATTACCTCAAAACAGTTTTTCAAACCTGTTAATATCCATCAACCGCTTATCTTACACAAATATTAATTACTCATAACTTTGAGAAATTTTATGGTCTAAATAGTTATATGAGATTTTTTTATATTAATACGACGTTTGTTGATGGTATATATTGCCGTAACAATATCCATTACCCAGTGCATGTTCCTATTAGCAATTCAAAATAATAAAACCTGCGGCTGCCAACCCGCCTGCCAAGCGTGGCAGCTATGGCGGAATCCTTCCTATGAGGTAATTTATAGGGGAGACCTATATTCAGCAGTAGACTTTAATAAGCTGTAATAAAATAAATTAAAAAGATGTCATAACATTCACCCGTTTTTATATTAATAGAATCAGGTGATACTTTTTGGAATTCCATTATATTAACGTTGGAAAAATTTACTTTGTCAATATCCGCTCAATAACATAAAATGAAATGATGTGTTTTTGTTCTGACTTATGGGTGTGTCTTCTAACTAGGTAACTAGTTAGACGAGCACCTCCTTCCGCCATCCTTCAATTCCGTGCACTATCCCACTAATCCCAGCACTACTACTCCAAATCCACCACTAAACTAGGAAAGACCACCGATCATAATACGAAACGTGTTTCGCCTCTGCAATGGGTGAACAATGAATTTCTATATTTCCATATATTCCGTATAATATTTTTTGTTTTATTTTTGTACAATAAATCGCAGACCTTGAAATTTTACCTCCAGCCTTTGACGAAAGTCATCTTTAAAACGGTCAATAAATAATACGCAATATGATCAATCAATGGGTGTCACTGCAAAATACACTTTAGTATTATATCTAATGAAATCTTACGAGGAAAATACTTGTCGGCTTATTAATAAAGGGCAACATTAAAATTAGATTTGTCGAACATTATATTATTTTTAATCAACTACTGTTTTGAAAAGGGATTTCCTATGGCTGGACAAGAAGATGAAAAAAAATTCGCAGTACTCAGAGATGACAACGTACCTGTAGCCTTCTATGTTTAAAGTTGGTTGCATGTGTCGATGGGCTGCAGTAGCCACTTAATATCAAGTGGTATGTAAATTCGTCCGTCACTTCATTTTTATGTATACAATAAAATAAAATTGAAGTGTCTGTTTGTAATATCAACAGCTTTTAAGTAAATTCATTTGACCGTATATGATATAACAAATACGAAATTTTTAAAAATTTTTGTCTGTCTGTCTGTTCATTCCAGCTAATCTTTGAAACGGCTGAACCGATTTCGACTAAACTTTCACTGGTAGATAGCTGATATTATAAGAAGTAACTTAGGCTACTTATATTTTACAAAAAGAATTAGGGTTCCTAGCAACATAATTAAAACCCTAAATTACACGCGGGCGAAGTCGCGGAGAACAGCCAGTACAAAATAAAATAAAACAGGTACTACTGCCCATATGCTATGGTGACATTTCCTGCTGTCAAATATTATGAAAACCACGGAATTTTATAGGCTGATGAATACATTTACGTCGCCACTACATGAACTACTTTAATTCTAACGATTTCTATATTATCAGCACTATAAAATGTACGTACTCGAATGTACACAAAAAAAAGCTTTTGGTGGCAGTCTACCAAAATCCGTCACTGTGTCTCGACCGATGGATGTTGTAAAATCTATTAAAAATCCCAGAAATCCGGAAATGTATTGAAGCAAAATTACAACTTAAAATAATTAATTGACAATACCGTTATAGGAATAAATCAATAAACTAATAAAATGATGTTATATATTTAGTTGAACTACTGGAAATAAAAATTCAAGGATTGTTCAAATAATACAAATAAGCAGCAATAACTAATCATACAAAATTATTATTGTAATTCTGGAATAAAACATTTGAAGTAGTGCATACATTTAATCATAGTGGCAATAAAAGTTAGACATTAGATTATATATCACTCAGTTAAATTTACTACAAACGATGCTATGAATTAATTTTAAAAATTAAATAGTCATTTATAAACTAAAAAAAATTATGTTTTTGTAAAAAGCAAGAAATTTTGTCCAAACATTACTCATATTATTATTCTAGCTTTTTCATTTTTATTTTAATTTTTACTTTAACATCGGAATTTTTGATTTACAATTTTTGTTTTATTCCAACCATAAATTATATGAAATCGTTAATTTATTTAATGAATGGTGGTGCCACAGTAATCCATTAAAGTCCACAGCTGAACATAGGTTTTCAATTTTTATTAAAATCTTCATATATAGTAGCTTAGTTATTGAAATGTGGCCCGTTCATAATTTAAAATAGCATTCATTGCGCCTCTTTTAATTTTTCAATTTTCACAAGATAATTTTGGTCAAAATTATAGCGAATACAATAGCACCTTAACGTTTAGAAATTAACAGTAATAATCTTCAGATCAGAACCCAATTATAATGCTAGGATTCAATTTTATTCTCTTGTTGTGTTGTTTTTCTATGCTTTACAATGATTGAATAAAATCACTATGAAACTGGAGTAGTACTAATTCGTATGTGATGATTGTGCCGACTACCTGTAATCATCATCATTCATCATCATTACAGCCCTTCACAAGTCCACTGCTGAACATAGGCCTCCCCCAAAGTATGCCACAAAACACGGTCCTGAGCCACCTGCATCCATCGACTTCCTGCATGTCTTACCAGGTCGTCACTCCATCTCGTGGGGGGACGCCCTACACTTCGCCTACCGGTACGAGGCTGCCACTCGAGAACCTTTCTTCCCCATCGGTTGTCGGTTCTTCGAGCTATATGGCCGGCCCACTGCCACTTCAGCTTACTAATCCGTTGGGCTATGTCGGTCACTCTGGTTCTACTGCGGATATCCTCATTCCTAAGTTTATCACGCAGAGAAACTCCGAGCATAGCCCTCTCCATAGCTCGCTGAGCGACCTTGAGCTTCCTCATACGGCCAGCAGTGAAGGACCACGTCTCAGTTCCGTAAGT